AACAACATTGTTCTGGAATCTTCCAATATTTGGTGCCTGGTTGATGGTAGTGCCTGGAAACAGGAGAGGGAGCTTCTTATAAAGCCCCAAAACCTCAATCCTTCCTGCACCTCTGATTTTAGTTCAAAATGAAGTAGATTCTCTAGGTGCCAGTGACTCACGTGTAATTCTAGCTACTAAGATCTGGAAGATCGCAGTTCAAAGCTAGCCACAGGCAGAAAAAAAAAAACATCCTTGTGACTCTACCTCTGTAATAACCAGCAAAAAGCAGAGCTGGAGGCTTGGCTCAAGTGGTAGAGTGTGAACAGAGCAGGCCCCGAGTTTAAAGCCCAGTACTCCCCCACCCAGTACTCCCCCACCCAGTACTCCCTTCCCAGTGCTCCCCTCCCCCCATCCAGAATGAAGCAGATGTACTTCCACACTGGAGTTGTTAGGGGATGAGGTAAAAATCCAGTTTCAGATCTCTGCCTCCCAGACACACAGGATTCTAGATCTTGAGGCACAGAGCCCAGGGCCTATTTTCCAAGGCTCTTGGCATGTTAGATAGAACTGGGATGGGAACCCTGTCTGCCCTATGGCTGCAAAGAGACAAGGATCATCTCATGCTTTTCCCTTCTTCCTCATCCATCCTCATTTAGAACTGGAGCCTCTTAGCAAGGGGCATGGGGTGCCCCTTGCCCCCAGCCTGACACGGAAGTGCTTCCAGGTAAGAGAAGCTTGGTGAATGCAGGGTCCTCATCTCCATGTGTCTCGCTGAGTCTGCCCATGTCACGTGCAGCTTTGCTGTTGGACAGATTAGAGTAGTCCATGCCCTGAATCCAGACCCTTGGGCCTGGCTCAAGGGTGGTGCTCTACTGCTCGAGCTATACCTCTACTTCTGGCTTTTTGCTGAGTCTTTGGACTTACATGAAAATGTCATGGACTTTTCTGCCCAGACTGGCTTTGAACTGGGATCTTCTTCAGATCTCAGCTCCTGAGTAGCCGGGATTACAGGCATGAGTCACCAGTGCCCATCCCTGTGGTTCTTTTAAATTCCCATCATGGCTGTTTTATGGAGCTGGATGGAGGGAGCTGGTGGTAGTTTCTCAGAGCAAGTCAACAAGCAGTCCATGAAATGGGGGAGGAAGGGATGTTCTGGAGCTAGGATTTAGACTGAATACATTACTGGCCTGGTCCCTTTTGCGTGTATTAGAAGCCCACAGGAGAGAAGTGATTTGCTTGTGGTCTCCATTGCCACACATCCATGTAGAAGCTGAGCTGGGAACAGAAGCCAGGTCTTGTGTGTGGCTTTGGACTGTAAGACGCACTTTACCACTATGAGCCACAGCTCCACTTCTGGTTTTCTGGTGGTTCATTGGAGATAAGAGTCTCACGGACTTTCCTGCCCGGGCTGGTTTTGAACCTCAATCCTCAGATCTCAGCCTCCTGAGTAGCTATGATTACAGCTGTGAGCCACTATCAACCTGTTGTAGGATGCTCTTTACAGTGACAGGATTTCCTCTCGCCTGGTTTAGGTTTGGCTGAGATTAAAAGGAGTGTGTGCTCAGAGTCCTCAGGTGCTGGGTGAATTAGGTCATACAGGTGCAGCACCCCAGGTATTGGTCAAAGTGGCTGTAAAGTGTGTTATGTTGCAGGAAGAAGTAGGTAAAAACTGGGTAGGGGGGAGCTGTGACTCAGCCTGTAATCCTACCTATCAGGAGGCTGAAACCCAAGGATCAAAGATGAAGGAAGGGCCAGCAGCAAGCAGTATTTGGGGGTGAGGACCAGGGACAAGCTGTCCACATGACTCCAGGATGGCCAGAAGTCAGCCACAGCGCAGGGGGATCCTTACCGTATGGGAGGCGTCTGCATTCAGAAAGTTCCAGTAACCCAGGCTGAGGGTGTGATGGTCAGAGGGGAGTAGAATGAGGTGATCCACAGACAGGTCACACTTCCTTTGGGGAGATTATGGCTTGCCCCCACATCTAGGTCTCAAATGCCATTATTTTCCCCCCACCATCTCTATGGCAACACAGGGCAGGTAACATTCTCTGCCCATCTCCTCAGAACTGCTTCCTCCCAGCCCTGTGTATGAGTTACTCCTGACAACGGCGCTGCCTTTGAACCATGCTTCAAAAGCATCTCTGAAAGGCCTCAGCAGGAGGCCAGACTCTCCTCCTGTCACCCCTGGGGGCTTCAGAAGTCCTGCCTTGTAGCCTGGGTGGAGGGGTGTGTGGAGGAGGGTCTCCTGCACCTCCATGTCCAGGCTGATTAACCGATTTCTGCTCCGTGGACAAGAGTTTTCCCCGCATGCCTTCATCCAGTTCCAGTTTGTGATGTGTGACCTGCCTCCCTGTGCAAATCACTTTGCCTTGATTCTTTTTTTTTTTTTTTTCCTGCTCTTCCTTCTTGTTTGGAGCTGATGCTTTGAGGCTGTTTGAGTTGGACTCAACACTGTTTGGGCAGCTGGTCTAATCAGAAGTGCTTGTCGATCATTAACCTCGACAGTCATTTGTCTTTCAAAAAGATATTTTTCTCTGAGCTCTCTCAAAACACCCCAAATTGGCTGGGAGTCATTGAATGGAGTTGCCTAATGAGTTGTTGAGCCTCAGTTTCCCCCACTTAAGACATAGAGATTGTAATGGGTGTGTGTTTTCAGGAGTTTTCTGTTACCTGTCTTGATGATTGTTCTTCATTTTGGGGGGGGGCTGGTCCTGGTGCTTGAACTTAGGGCCTGCACACCATCCTTCATTTTTCTTGCTTAAGGCTGGTGCTCTACCACTTTTGGCTTTTCGGTGGGACTTTCTGGCCATCCTCTTATCCAACCTCCTGAGTAGCTGGGATTACAGGAATTACAGATACCATTCTTGTTAAGCAGTAATTCTCTCTGGCCACCTTCTATGATCAGTTTTCCTCTCTGTCTGCCACCACCCTCAAAAAAAAAAGTCATTCATTCTTTGGCTTTCAGAGTAAGCAGAGCCCCCCCACCTCAGGGGCTTAGTTCTTGTGTTTTGGGGGAGACCAAGAAAGGATTATTCACAACACCACACGAAGACAGACTTAAAACCGGCCAGATGGGGTTTGCATGCATTTGCTGTATCCCACTCCACGCTCAAGACCTAAGGACAGGAAAGTTCCCGTTATTATAAAGATGGCATGTAACCCTGGCTCCCCACCTGCTGGTCGCAGCTCCTGCGATCTTGAGCATCAGGTGTGTCTCACTTGGGCACAAGAGAGGAGGTACTCAGGCCACCTTCCCCATTGTCTGGTTGTTCCTGTTTCTTGTGGCCATTGGCAGTGTCTGAATCAGGCCGTGAGCTGCCCACAGGGCTTCTGAGCAATTCAACCATAGTCACTTTGTGGCCTGGGTATCCAGCCTTGGACCACCAGGCCAGACCCTGTGTGTGTGTGTGTGTGTGTGTGTGTGTGTGTGTGTGTGTGTTTTGGAGAGAAGGGGGGGTCAGCTCCCTTTTGTTTGCTTCTAAGGTTGAGACCCTGACCTATGACCCGTTGCCTAGAGGAAATAGATACCCTGACCTCTGACGTATCACCTAGAGGAGAAGTAGACCAGGATCCAGCAGGCCAGGATCCCTTGCTTACCTCCAGCGTAGGAGGTAGAGGGTTCAGGCCCTCCCCTCAGGGCCACAGCCACAGGACGCAGGGTGATGAGCAAAGTCTTTCAGGTTCCTCAGTTCAAGGCCTGCTCCCTCACTGTCTCTGTTTCTCTCTTAGTGCTGGTCCTGGGGCTTGACCTCAACCAGGGCCTGGATACTGTCCCTGAGCTGCTTTTGCTCAAAGGTGGCCCTCTACCACTTGAACCATAGCACCACTTACAGCTTTTTTTTTTTGAGTAGTTTATTGGAGATAAGAGTCTCTCTGATTTTCCTGCACGAGCTACCTTTGAGCCAAGATCCTCAGCTCTCAGCCTCCTGAGTGGGTAGGATTACAATTGTGAGCCACCAGTGCCCAGCCTGCTCTTATCTTCCCTCCTTCCTTCCCTCTCCCTCCCACCCCTCTGCTTCCCTCCATACTTCTTCCTTCCTTCCCTCCCTCCTCCTCTTCCCTCTAATTCAGAAGCATCATCTTTCCTGGCCGGGGTGGAGGGGAGTTGGCCCTGAGAACTTTCCCTGAGGCCCAGACCAATTAGATGACACTATCGTATTATAAGTGCACCGGGCTGGATTTCCCATCCAGGATGACTGGGTGCACACTCAGCGCAGATTGCTGCAAGGCCTTTGGCCTGTTGTCATGGTTTTGTCTAGCAAAGATCGCCCCGCGTGCTGAGGGCAGCTTTGATGCCCATTCTGACACGCAGCCCGGCCTTTCCCATGGTGCTGGGCCCTTCTCTCTGCACTCAGTGAACCATGTCTCATACTCGAGACCTGAGAGCTGGGTTTGCAGAGAGCTCTGGTTTTCTCCAGAGTGGCCTAGGAAGGCTCCATATATGTGCAGGGTTATTTAGAGAGCTTTAAGACCGGATGTTGCTCTTGCAGGATGGGTAGCATGTGTATGGGAGGGACAGGCAACATGGAGGCAGAGAGGGAGGTATTGAAAAGGAGGAAGCCTCCTGTCACGGGAAGGCCCTGGAGGCCATGAATCACTTTCCACGTGTGAGGCTTGCTCAAGGCTACCCTTCCCTGTGCTGTGCAAGGTGTTCACCCACTCTGGTCAGGTGGAGCCCCATGCCTTGCTACCAGTCTGCTTTTCCCTCGTGCCAAAAGGGCTTTTCTGGAATACGGGGTGGTTTTGTTTTGCTTTGTCTGGATTTAATGGCGAGGGAGACGGGGTTCCCCCCCATCCATGGATAATCTGAATCAAAAGGGGAAGACCCCTGAAAGGTGGTACGCGTGGTGGCTGGGGAGTTGGCCGAGCTCACTCCAAGCCGTGGCTTTGGTTAAGACTGGAGAGGGGAGGGGTCATGCAGTCCCTCAGCTCACGCTTGAACTTGCGACTTCGATGTGTTACCTATGACCTACGTCACCCTCACGGGGACTTTTTTTTTTTAATTTCCCCTTCTGCAGACAGAGATCGCGAAGAGACTGAACACCATTTTAGCCCAGATCATGCCTTTCCTGTCACAAGAGGTGAGGAGTCTTCTCTCATAGTCTACCCCCTCCCATGGCAGTCCCCCCTCCCCGCCCCCCATGGATGTGTCTAACCCAACCCCCCCCATCCGTTTCCCCAGCACCAGCAGCAGGTGGCTCAGGCGGTGGAACGCGCCAAGCAGGTTACCATGACGGAGCTGAACGCCATCATCGGGGTACGTGGACTCCCCAGTCTTCCATTCACCGTGTGTATAGCCCTTTAATTCCTCTCATGTACTGAAGCAGAGATAGACCCTGACTTTGGCTGGCCTCAAAGAATGGCATTCTCCTCCCCCCCTTCCCCACCCCACCCCCGCCCCACAACTTCCTAAACATCCTGGGAGATTGTATCTATTTGGGAGGTCTCCCCAGTAGCACCCCCAATTGCTTCCTAGTCCCCAGTGTAAGTCCTGCCATTGAGGAGTGGGGGTGCTGGGATCACCCCAGCCCAGGCCAGCTGGGCCTCCTCAGCCTCCCACCTTCTCCAGGCCTCCTGCTCCCTCCCACCAGTGGTCTGCCCTTCTTTGGCTGCCGAGATCAGAGCTGTCTCTGTTCACTGTGTGCACTGTGCTGCGGAGTTGTGGGTTTGGGTCTTGCTGTCCCACGCGCCAGGCTGCATGGCTTTCTCACCTACCTTTGTGAATTCCAGAGGGGGCCCCCTAGACATCACCCCAGCCTTCCAGAAGTCCCATTCCAGCCAGACACGGGACAGACGGTGCTTTGCAAGGCCCATGGCCACCTCATCAACTCATCAGCAGAGACTGGGCCCCATGGTGGCCCCTCTGTGTGTGTTTTGCTTTGCTTTGTTGAGACAGGGTCTCACTTGCATAGCCCAGGCTGTGATCCCCAGCCCTCCCCTGTGCTGGGATTGTAGAAGTGTGCCATCATACCTGGTAAACTTGGGTATTTAGACAGACCCATTGTTGTGCTGTGAAGCAAAGAATATTGTTGATATTTTCTTTGTGACTTTGGGGCTGTAGCTGTCTACCTTTTGTTCCTAAAATGAGTCTGGTAGGAAGGATCCATTACAGCTACCTGAAGGAGCCCATGAATACTCAGCTCTGTTCCTTAGGCCAGGCAGTGGGACTCAGGGTCTGCTCCAGAGGCCAGGAGGCGGGGTTCAGGGTCTGCTCCAGAGGCCAGGAGGCGGGGTTCAGGGTCTGCTCCAGAGGCCAGGAGGCGGGGCTCAGGGTCTGCTCCAGAGGCCAGGAGGCGGGGCTCAGGGTCTGCTCCAGAGGCCAGGAGGCGGGGCTCAGGGTCTGCTCCATAGGCCGGGAGGTGAGGCTCAGGGTCTGCTCCATATGGGGCTCAGTTTTCCAGGTTGGCTGAGGCCCCACCCACACTCATACATATGGTGATACTGGTGTCTTTGTATCCTTTGGTTCTCTATAAGGCTATTGGAAGGAGCAACTGAAGTCTGCCTCCTGCTCACAAACCAGGACTCAGACCCCTGTCATAGCTGTGGGACTTTACAGAGGGCCCCTTCATCCCCAGACCCCACTCTGTAGCTGTGAAAGGAGACTGGGGACCAGACAGAGTCACAGGACACTGGTGGATTCCTCCCTCTGACCCACTGTGGGAACCCAGGATGGTCACTGCCTGGGAAGGCTTCTAAGGCTGCTGTGAGGGGTGGAAACAAGTCACGCCGGGCCTTGGTGGGGTGAGGAAGGGGGACCTTGCCTACCCTGTGGGGTGGGAGCAGGAGAAAGTTGGTGTGTGTGTGTGTGTGTGTGTGTGTGTGTATGCACGCACTGCTTCTAGGGCTTGAACTCAGGGTCTGGTTCTCTCCCTGAGCTTTTTGGCTCAAGGCTGGTGCTCTACCACCCCTTGAGCTGCAGCTCTACTTGTTATTTTTGATGGTTAACAAGCATCTTATGGCTTTCCTGCCTGGGCTAACAGTGATCCTAGATCTCAACTTCCTGCGTAGCTGAGATTATAAGCCTGAGCCGCTGGTGCTGGGCTACAAGGAAGGGTCTGGTGCTGGAGAGGAGAGTCCATTCTACTGTAATGCTGAGCATCCCCAGCCCGCATCTAGCCAGGGTTCTTCGCCTGTTTCACTGGAGACTTGGGACCAGACAGCTCTTTGCTACCTTATGTACTGAAGGATATAGTAGCATTCCTTGCCTGACCCCACTGGCTGTCAGCACCCCCATGCACACACATGACACCCCACAGAAGCTGATTTGAGTTTGGATCTAGCCCAGGGCCCTTGGTTTGGAGATGTGTTCAGTTACCAAACCGACCAGATTCCCAAGGCTATCCTGCCTGCTCCTTACCTTCCAAGGTGTGGCTTGTGTCCCAGTACTCTGTGGCATTGTGGTGGCGGACTCAGGTGTAAGTGGGCACACGTGCCGCTGAGTTCTCTTCCAAAATCCTTTCTCCGCAACCCCTTGCCTGCACCCCTCCAGGTCCCCCTTAATATCACCGGGATGAATTCTTCACCCCTGTGGTGGCTACAGGTGGGGTCCCTGCCCCCTCTCCCTGCCCAGCCTTCCCTTTTGTAATTAAAAATCCTCTAATGGAAATCATTTTCATCTCAGTGGTAAGAAGGAAGTAAAATTGGGGCGGAAGGGCCGCTTTTCCTCTGGGGATTATTTAGGGAAGTTACAGGTGTGGCCAGGGCAGCCTCTCAGCGATGCAGTGCTGGAATTCAATTAAAGCTGGCCAGTGTGGTCCGCCTCCCTCACTGTCAAGGTAATTGCTTCTTGACTCCAAGGGAAGGTGGCGGTCACCTTTGCCCCGCTGGGCTCTGCTGGGCTGCTTGAGGGAGAGGCGGCCGCCCTAGCCAAGGGCCTTGCTTATCTCCCATAAAAGGTAGAGAAAAGCAGGACAGGCCTTGGTTTCCCCATTTGTGAAGGATCGGGGAGGACCAGCCAGGTTTTGTTCAGCATGGTCTGCTCCAGTTCATTTGTTTTGGGGGAGCAGTGGAGGAGAGAGTCTCTTAGAATACACACTGCTGGAACCTAGTCAGTCAGCCATGCCTACCGCATGGAAGCAGATTTCCATGGGGAAGGCAGACCCGAAGAGTCTCTTCCTTGGGGGCGACGAGCCCTCAGCTGCTGGGAACCACATTATTGGAGGGGCCTTATTGAGAATTCCAAGCTTCCTGAGTCCCAAAAGGGGCCATCCAGCTTGCAGGAGGCATTAATGAAGACCCTGGGAGTTGACCACTGGCCTGCGGTGGTCAGGAGTGGGGGATGGGGTGGACGGAGAGTGGAGATCTGCTTCCCTTGTCCACTGATGATCAGGTCTTCGTTCCCTGAGAACTGTTGGCAGATAAGATGGTGTAAGGCCATTGGTTTGATCTTTTTCTCTGGAGCGGGAGGGAGAAGAAGAGAGAGAGTGATAGCATCACAAACTAAAGGTTCATGGCAGTTGTAAGTCTGGTGTTCACTCTAGGGGTGGATGAGCTGTCTGATCGCAGTGGTTGGATTTCCCATGATGATGGTACAGAGGCTGCCGCCACCAGGCAGCGGTGGTGCAGAGGTGGTGCTGGAGTCCGGTCCTGGCTCTGGTGGCCACTGGATTTTTCCAGCCCTTAGAACCTGTTCTCTATCTCTGAATGGAGGTAACAAGGGTGGTGGTGAGCAGTACAAGCTATTATTAAGCCCAGAAAAAGCTTAGATCTGTGTAGAGCCCTGGGGACCACTGAACTGTGTGAAAAGAAATAATTGGAGCCCTGAGCTGGCTCCATGCCCGGGGGAGGATGTGTTTGTCATGAATTGTGTGGGGACCCTTGTCTTTGCTTGCTGCTTATGGGAGCTCAGAGCCAGGAGTTCGAGGTTAACCCAAATAAATCATCGGGAGCCTTGGAAACGAAGCATTCTCTCTGCTGCTTCTTGTGAGTGGACGCATTATCTCCTGGGCTCCAGGGCTGAGGATGAGGACCTGCATGTGCCCCAGAGGACCTATCGGCGATGTGTTTGTGTTCTGACATGAAGAGCTCAGGAAGAAGAAGCAAAAAGATATGAAGGGCTTAAGTTCCAGACTCCCTGCACACACGCACACACGCACGCACTCACCCCAGCCTCCACTTTTGGAGGTTAAGGGAAGCCTGTGGACTTCCTTTAAGATCATGGATGGAGAAAGGCCTGTCCCGGGAGAAATCCAGGAAGGTGGAGACAGCTGGCTTCAGATTGTTTATAGGTGGCCATTCCTGCTCCTCAGAGAAAGCCCCCCAGTCAGGGGAAGAAAACAAACCTGTCTTCCTCCCACTGGGACCTGGGCTGAGTTGGAGTCCCTCATGCCCTAAAGACAGGATGTATGGCAGGGGAGAGAGAAACAGCTTGAAGGTAACTGTGACAGGCTTCTCCCTCCTAGGGCTGGAACATGGATGGATTAACAGTCACTGCAGGCTGACCCTAGCCAGTAGGGCCAGTGTTATCAGAGCCTGGCCATACACAGAGGCAGAAGAGAGACTTGTCTGCATGGAAGATCTACCTGTCTTCGATACTAAGGCAGAGGTTTATCCTGCCAGTCTTGGAAGCCATTGTTTGCTGAGCAGCTACTGCGGCTGCTTCTGCCCCAGGATTCTGATGCTGGCTCGTGTCCTGGGGGTGCTGAGCTGGCTCCTTCCTTTGCTGATGAGTCCTATTCCCAGGAACCCATCTAGCCGCCTCTCTGCTCGGGCCTCAGAGATCAGCGATCATCAGTTACCTTTGTGCAGGGCTCTCTGTGGATTTATTTTCCCTGCTTGGCATTTATACACTTCTCCAGCATTTTGTGTGTTCATCCAGAAAATGGGTACAGGAAACATGCCAGGTGCTGGCACGGTCAAGCAAGACAGGGGCTCCGTCTTTCTGGAACTCACAAGTTGCCAAGCCTGCATGAATGGCTTTAAGGAGCATCCATTTCTCGCGGTGTGACCCTGGGATGGCCGGATGACAGTCAGTAACTCCAGTCTCCTGGAGAGGTCATCTGACCTGCCGGGGGACTCATGGTGGATACAGGCTAGAGCAGGAAGCCTCACCTCAAACTCTCTTGCTCCTCCAGAGTCTGAGTTGTTAGAACTCTTAGAAATGACAGACCCCACGTTCTGACCCGGAGGTGGACAGCATCCCCAGGAAGTGGCATTGGAGGTCTCCCTTGAGTACCAGCAGTCCGTGAACTCTGGGTTGAGACCCAGAATCATTCATGGGAAGAGCTTGCCTCGTCTGCCTCCAGCGGAGCTGAGTCTTGGGAGCCATCTTGCCCTTCTTCCTTCCGTGTCTTCCTTGAGGTCTTTTTTGGCTCTGCGTTGTGAAACTAGACTTTGTACTTTCGTCTTCGCTCTCTGGGGATTTTACTGGATCGTTGCCAGCAACAGAATCCAGGAGCTTCCTAGCAATGGGCTTAGAAGTAGAGTGGGACCCACGAGAGACTTGACTGCACCCGGAATCTGGATGAGGTCACGCAGTCCAACCACAACAGGAAATGCTAAGTGGCTCCTCAGGAAGACAAGTTGATTTCTTCAGAACATTTCTTTTAAGCCAGGTGCTTGTGGTTCACCCCTGTCATCCTGGCTACTCAGGTTGCTGAGATTGGAGGATTGTGGTTCAAAGCCAGTCTTGGCACGAAAGTCCATGAGAGTCTTTATCGCTAATAAACCAGCAAAGCCAGAAGTAAAGTTATAGCTCAAGTAGTCGAATGCTAGCCTTGAATGAAATAGCCAAGAGATAGTGCCTAGGCCCTGAGTTCAAGCCTTGATACTTGTGTGCGTGCATGCACGCACACATACCCACTTTTTAATGGTGAGCATGTATTTGTGCAAGAAGACATTTCTTAAGAGGAGAATTGCAATTAAGCCCCTAGTGAGCAGAGTCTGGGCTCCTTGGCCCAAAAGGTGCAGGGTACCTAGGGCTCTGGTAATGCCAGCTCCTGAAGCTACCATGGCTCAGCTTGGCCTTTTTTGGCAGATGAAGTCCATGCCCACCACCAGCCTCAGTGAGGTGCCTAGCAGTGGGTACCAGTGGCTCCCTGCTGGTCTTGAGTGCTCATCTCAGAGTGGAGAGATGGAGCCCTTTGGGACTGGGAGCCCCAAAGGGCTAACTTGGTGCGGGATGGGGGCAGGGCAGTCCCTCAGTCAGGATGGGGTCTTTGCTGTCTGTTACCCCATCAACTCCTCTTGCCTGGATTGCTTCTTAGGAACACCTACTTCAGGTGGGAATTGTCACATTTGAATCGGGATCCCAGTTCTTTGGCTGAGTAATCCATCTCTCCGGAAAGCAGGCAGGCATCCATTGAGTCTTGGATACCTTCTCTTGGTGCTGGTTAGGAAGAAGGTTGTGTGTAGAAGTGGGGACCAGCATGTCCCATGATGCCATGCTTCCAGGCACAGGCTTGGCCATCACTGGGGCATTCTGAGACAGTCTGATCCTAGAGGCTTAGGGGCCCTGAAGCCTGTGGAGGGAAGGGATGTCAGATTGTTAGAACAGCTGGGAACCCTTGGTAACCTCCAAAGAGTCTAGCCACCATCCTGAGAGTGAGCGCTCCTTTGTCAAATTCCTCTGCTGTCAGTGTTTAAGGCTCAGGAGGCTGATTTGTACCAGCCCAAGGCCACCTGGCCAATAAGAACCAGAGCTGGGACTCAGCCCCTGTTCTTTCTGGTCCCAAAGGGTCTGCTCTTCCCGATGCCCCGTTTTCCACTCTGACTGGCCCTGGGCTCATCTTGCTTCTGACATTTTCCTGCTAATGGCTTGCCCTGCCCCAACTCTTCAAGCCAACCCTGGGGTTGGGGACATCTGTTCTGGCTGGAGGGCAGGTGGGTGGGGTGCTTGAAGACACAAATCCTGTGTCTGAATTGCACTCTGCCCTTGGACTTCTTTGAGCAAGCCGTGCCTGTGGGCTGAGCTGGGGGCATGGTCTGGGGGTGCATTTCCCCCTGCTTCTGCCCTGCTCCCTGATGGAGGGGGAGGGGAGGGAGGGGTCACCTTTGTCCTCACCACCACCTTCACCACAGCAGCAGCAGCTCCAGGCCCAGCATCTGTCCCACGCCACGCACGGCCCCCCGGTCCAGCTGCCACCCCATCCGTCAGGCCTCCAGCCTCCTGGGATACCCCCGGTGACCGGGGGCAGTGCCGGGCTGCTGGCCCTGGGCGCCCTGGGCAGCCAGGCCCATCTTGCTGTGAAGGATGAGAAGAGCCATCATGAACTGGACCACAGAGGTGAGGCTCAGGGTGGGGCAGGGCTGGGAGGGGGTTTAGGAGGCCAGGGTGGGCAGTGTGCTGTCACCTGTGCAGCAGGGGAACAAAGTACATGCTGCTGCCAGAAGTTAGCTAGAGACTGGGAGCCATTTACTGATCTGGGGATCGCAGTTCAAAGCCAGCCCAGGCTCCAGTTCACCACCAAAAAGCTGGAAGTGGCGCTGTGGCTCACGTGGTAGAGTAGTACCAGCCTTGAGCAAAGAAGTTTAGGGACAGGGCCTAGGCCCGGAGTTCAAGCCCCAGGACCAGCACACATGCGAGCACAAACGCATGCGCATGCACACAAGCACACACACACACCACACACACACATACACACACATGGGAGGAGTCAAGACAATACTCAATGCCAGCCTCTCAAGTCCTGCCCTCTAGAAAATGCCTTCACCCATCTTGAAGATCAGGTTTTTCTAAGTATGTAGTTCTCACCAGCATAGAAAGGGCACACACAAGTCAGCAGGCAAGTTAGCAGTTTCTGCCTTTGGTTTGAGGTGCCTTGTGCATGCTGGCATGCTTGTGACAGCGATGAGCTAACCCTCCCATGGGGCCCAGGACACCATAGGAGTTCAGATTGGGGTGGGGGGCTGCTGCATGTAGAAGACAGAGGACCTGGCTCACTGCAAGACTGCACAGGCTGACACCTGTGGAGCCCTGGGCAAGAGGGTTGGGGCGGAGCCCGCCTGCCCTGAGCAGGAGCTGGTGGGCAAGCTTTGTGTCCCATGGTGTCCCTGGGCCACGGGCGAGGTGTGGGCTCGTGTGTAGTTGAGCAGATAATCAGAGATTCCAGCTTCTGGGGGCTTCTTGGCAAAGAAACAGAATGCTGGTAATTCAGAAGAGGAAAACAAAATCTACCCCCAAATTCTGTCCCTTTTTTGGGGGGGGCAGGTAGGAGCAAGAATGTTCTTAACTCCTAGTTCTCACTCTGGGCACTGGAATGGAGGCTATGCTGGAATCTAGGGGAGTGCTAGAACCAAGGTGCACTACAACTGGGGTGGTTAAGATCTATAGAGAGCCGTTGTCACCTGGTAGCGCCAGAGACATTGCCTTCTGCCCCATTGACATGTTAGCCAATCACAAAACCAGCTGTGCTAAAACTGACCTCTGACCTCTGCCTGTTCTTTCTCTTTTTCCCCTGGGGATCGGACCCTCCTGCTGCTCTCTTCGCTTCTTTCCCCAAAGAGAGAGACTCGAGCGCGGTGAGTGTGTGGTTCTGGGCCCTGTGGGGTGGGCTTGGGCGCAGGTTGAGATCTGGCTCTCAGCTGTGGGCTGGTATCAGCCTGTGGGTCCACAGCCAGCCTCAGGGTCAATAGGGTGGAGACTGGTCCTCTGTTCTGCTCTGTGGATCGAAGCTGAACTCTGTGATGTTGGTTTATGTCTTCTCAGAACTACCTCGCTTCTCTGTTGGCCGTGGTGGGAGGGGGCTGGTTATGGTCACCTGTTGAGCATGGCCCTGTATTATGGAAGTGCTCTAGGCATTTGTCACAGGAAGAGCTTGGCTAAGTGATCCCAGATTCCGTGTCCTAGGAAATGACCAGCTGACCAGCCCTGCCTCTTCCAAAGGACTTTGTGGAACCATTGGGGCTGAGCCAGAGTTAAGGACCCCAGGTTCCCCCCACCCCTGGCTGCGGCTCTTCCCTACCCTGCATGGTGGATGCCTGACTACCTTCTGATCCTGAATCCTTTTCCTTCAGAGGCCCCAGGTTTCTTTCTCCCTGCTCTGAGCTTTTACTTGGCTTAAGAAAGTGCTCACCAGTAGGCATTAAAGCCAGGCCACCCATGTGTCTGCCAAGCTCTGAGATTTGTTGTAAATCTTTCTGATCGCATGGTGGCTCCAAGGTGGTTATGTACCAGCGCGGTGGAGTCCGGATAAGAAAATCCTCCAGCTATTAGCAGAGCTGTAGCAGAGCTGTTCTTCCTCGTTGCTGTCCTTGTATCTGGGGCCATCTAATCTGCTAGGATGGCTTTGCTTATTACCTCTGTGTTATGTGGGACTTGGAAGGTCAGTTAGCTAACCATCCAGACAGCAGCCTTCATCCTATTTGCCCTCCCTTCCCCGGCCGCCCTCCTCCCGGGCTAAGGTTTTAAATCTCCCCATTAGCAACAAGGCTGCTGTAACTCTTCACCCTGCCTATGGGATCAGAAATCCAGGTCTCTTGTTTGGACCCAGGAAGGGCTAGGTATTGAAGAACTGAGTAGGAAGCTGAGAAATCAATCATAAAGTGGCTTTTTAAAAAAATTTTTGGAGGCTTTAGAAAGGAAGTTTGTCCAGATCGCAGTGAATCTGATTTGGACTTTTAGCGTAGCTCTGGACCCAACTTTGCGAGATAGGTGGCTCTCTTGGCCTCTCTGTTTCTGTATGTGAACTGTGGGAATTAGCCCTGCCCAGCTGGCTTTGTTCAGATAGGACCCTACCATATCCCCCAAACAGGGCTCAGTCCCACAGGTGAGTGGGCATTTGAACTCCAGAAGCCTCTGTGTCTTTCACAGCATCCTCATTTCAGTTTGTTTTTGGCTTTGAGCCCTCGCTGATGAAGGCTAGAAGCCCCGTGGGGACCCCTAAGAGCTAAGTCACCAACATTCATGAAGGGCACAGCCCAGAGCAGAGGGGGACAACAAGAGAAGAGCTACTGGAGGATGAATAGGGATGAATCCGACCAACCTGAGGCCAGGGCCAGCAGGAAGGCTGGGCTGGGCCTTCAGGGTCTGGAGCTGGAGATTCTGTGGGGGTTGGAGCGGGAAGGGGGAGGTGATGGCGATGGTGGTGTTGGCTGGTGTAGACTGGAATAATCAGCCTTTGGAAATCAGGTTGTCAACAGATGAGCTGAGAGCAGGAAGGACAGAGCAGGAGGGAGACGGGTGGATGGGCTGGAAGCCATCCCAGAGGGGTGAGTCTGGAGTCCAATTAGAGGTGGCTTCATTCATATTTCCTTGCGTAGCCCAAGCAATAAAAAATACTTAGTTTTTTGGCCGCCTGCCAGCCAGAGGCGGGCTGGATCGATGCCGCTAAATGCCTGACATGGCTCTCCGGTAGCAGGGAGGGTTTTCAGCCTGACTGCATGAGAAGAAAGAGCTTACTGTGCCGCTGCTGCACACCCCTCCCCCTTTTCCCTGCCTTCCCCTCCCCTCCCGTCTCCCCACCCCCCTCTGCCTGCGAGGGGCAGGCAGCCTGGGGGCTGGAAGCATTTCTGCTAAGCATGAGGTGGCCACCCCCCGTTGGAGGAAATGAAATGAAATGACGGTGATTTTTCTGCGGGTGCTTGCAACAGCTAATTGAATTGCGGCTGTGTGCCATCCTCTCTCTCTCTCTCTCTCTCTCTCTCTCTCTCCTGTCTCTCTCTCTCTCTCATGCACAGCTTTGGGCAAGGTTGAGCTGTAGTCCCATTACCTCCATTTTTTCTTCAAGGCTTGATAACTCTGCCATTTTAATTTGCTGCGGGCAGAAACTTGGCAGGGAAGGGCTGCCCAGAAACGGGCTTAAGAAAGGAAATTAAGTTCTGTGGCTGGCTCCTGCCCCAGTCCCGTCCCCTCCCCTCCCCTCCCTCCCTCTCCCCCCCTACACCGCCCACTGGCTTGTCCAGCATGCTCCTTCCCTGAGCCACCTGTGTGGTAAAATGGGGGAAGGTGGGGGGGGGTGGGGGCAGTGACTTTGCCCTCAGCACTGTTCTCTTCTGAACCATTATTTCACCGTGCATCTCTGCTCTGCTAGGCCCAGGGACCCACTGGCCTTTTCCATCCCTGTAGCTAGACTCAAAGCTCATGGAGGGTAGGGACCAGGCCTTGTTCATTCCATTCCCCCTGGCATGCAGAACCCGGCCCAACTCAAGGCAGATGCTCTGGGAATGGAGGGCGTTGAGGAATTGATGGTCTCCTAGAGAGGAGACGAGTTGGCACCTAAGTGGCACTGTTGGTCAAGCTCACAGCCCTCTGCTCAGGGACAGTTGATGCCCAGTTCTCCTGGCCATAACGCTGGCCTCTGCCATTGGTCCATTGTCTCCTGTCCATCTCCCTCCCTCCCTCGCCCCGCCCCTCACTCCAGGCCTGACCCATTGAATCCTTTGGGCCTTTGACCCTGGTTTACATCAGTTGACTTCCCTTCCTTGGGCTTTCCTGTCTGAGTGGGAAAGACTCTGACTGCACGGTGGGGAAGCGGGGTGGGCATTGAAGGTCTCGTTGGCAGCAGCTGGTGCCCACTGTCCTGACTCTGAATTCCTGCACCGCTTAAGACCTGGGGCTCCAACCCATCTTTTATTTAAGATACTTGAACTCCCGCATCCTTGCTTTGAGCATAGAAGTGTGACAGTGTGCACACAGGCCATGCCCACTTGCGTCCATGCTGTGCCCCACGGGGGGCTGTGAAGCAGCCAGGACCCTGGGGTTATTCCATGGCAGCCTTCTTGCTAGAGAAGGCGGAGGGGGGGTGTGTGTGCTCTCTGGAAACCCCCCTCCCCCAGGGCCCAGGCTACAAAGCTAGGGAAGGGCTCCCCAGTGAGGCCATGAATGATGGGTCAGGCCTAAGTCCCAGGAGAGAGACCCCCCCCACCTCTTTGCTCCTCTGTGTTTTCAGGTTGCTTTGTCACGTGACCCCTCCGTGGGAAGTTTTGACCCCATATCCTCTGTTCGCTTTCAGAATAACTCGGTGTCGCCCTCAGAAAGTCTCCGGGCCAGCGAGAAGCACCGGGGCTCTGCTGACTACAGCATGGAAGCCAAGAAAAGGAAAGCCGAGGAGAAGGACAGCTTGAGCCGATACGTATGTCCGGCCTGGGCCACCTGGGCTGGGTAGGGTGACGTGGGGGCCCAAAGTGTGGCTGAGCTGTGGCCCTAGCTCTGAGGGTGGGGGGGCAGGGAAGAGTACGCCGTGGGCAGAGACTAAAGTTCGTATGGGCTGGGCCCCAGGGAGTTCACACTCACTGAGGAGAGGAGGTAGATGGGGTGTCCTGACCTCTGTCAGGTCTGGGGATCTTCCTTGGGATCTCCCAGAATCCCAGCCAGCTCCAAGAGAGCCCCAAGCACTCCCTAGGTTGCCCCAGACATCAGCCACTCAGCCCTGGGCTTTTTTATTTTTGGTGCTGATCCTGGGGCTTGAACTTAGGACCGGAGTGCTATTCCTGAGGGTGGGTTTGTTTGTTTGTTTCTGCCCGTGGCTAGGGCACTACCACTTAAACCACAGCTCCTCTGCCCCATTTTGGGTGGTTTATTGGAGATAAGGAGTCCCACTGACTTTCCTGCCCTGAGTGGCTTGAAATCTCTATCAGATCTTAGCCTCCCTAGTAACTAGGATTATAGGCATGAGCCACCAGTGCTTGACTGAATGTGCACGGGATGCATGTTAAATACTTAGGTGTGTGTGCTGACATTTACTGGAGCTTGAACTCAGGAAGGGCCTGGGCACTGCCCCTTAGCTTTCTCACTCATAGCTGGCATTTGACCACATGAGCCCCAGCTCTACCCAGCCACGGCCATGGTAATGTGATGTTCTAGCATGGGGGCTCTAGCAAGTCATGGCCTAGCTGAGTTAGAGGGACAGCTGTGCACTCAGGAGCCTGGCCCCAAGTCCCAGGGGCCACTTGACTGCCCCGTGGCCCTGGGCTCGGATGGAGTAGTGAGATTGCTTCGTGGTGGGTGGTGGGCAATAGAGACACAAAGGGGTGAGATGTGGGGGTACAGTGATAGGATGGGTGTCTGTAAGGCTGTCCAGTGAGCATGGGGGCAGGGAAAGTTCTAGATCTCTGGAAGTTGGGCTTAGAAGCAGCTTGAGGGCATGAGGGAGGCATTGGTGGGGAGGTCGGGGCCTCACTGGCCCGCTGGCTGCTCTCTTGGTTGCAGGACAGTGATGGGGACAAGAGTGACGATCTGGTGGTGGATGTCTCGAATGAGGTAAGATGTCCCTGGTGCTGGCTGCTGGTTGGGGTAGCCTGTGGTGGTTCCTTTTGGTACCGAGCAGGGCTTTGCCCCTGTGGTTGGTGAGTGTAGGTACTAGGAAAAGCTTGGTAGAGGTGTCTCTGTTCTGAAGCCCAGTCCCTCCCAGCCTGTTAGTCTTTGTGTTTGAACTTTGACCCCATCCTAGGCTCTTGGCCCCCTCTCATCTATCTGTCAGTCAAGCTTTTTCCCACCATCCATCCCTTCTCCATTCCTGTTCCTGGGGCAGAGGGGACTCAAACATGCCCTGGGCTTTCCGAACTTCCCTGTGTGGCTGTGTTTACAGGACCCTGCCACACCCCGGGTCAGCCCCGCACACTCTCCTCCCGAGAACGGCCTGGACAAGGCCCGGGGCCTAAAGAAGGACGCCCCTGCCAGCCCTGCCTCGGTGGCCTCCTCCAGCAGCACGCCGTCCTCCAAGACCAAAGAACTTGGTCATGTAGGTGGGGAGGGAGAGGAAGGGAAGGCATGGGGGGGACGTAGGGGAGAGGGGAGGGAAGGAAGAAAGAACAAGGCTGCAGGTACAGGCTGGGTGTAACTCCGGATCTGGGTGGATTCCACACTAGTTAGTGAACATTTCTTTTTTTCTTTTTTGGGGGGGTCAGTCATGGCGCTTGAACTCTGGGCCTGGGCGCTGTCCCTCAGCTCTTCTGCTCAAGGCTAGCTAGCTCTCTACTACTTGAGCTATAACACCACTTTGGGTTTTCTGAGCGGTTTCTTGGAGTTAAGAGTCTCACAGACTTTCCTACCCGGGCTGGCTTTGAACCATGATCCTCAGATCTCAGCCTCCCGAGTAGCTAGGATGACAGGTGTGAACCACAGGCGCTGGCTTAGTTAGTGAATATTTCTGAGCCTCAGTTGCTACGTCTAAAACTAGGAGTCTCTGCCAAACAGGAGCCACAAAAGGTCCTGAAGTGGGGCCAGCTCAGGCTGCCCGGGGGTCCGGGTTTCCTGGGGGGCCAGGTGGGATGGTATGCACCCCAGCCCTTGGAAGAAATGGTCCCTGTTGATCCCCTCCTCAGAGTGACAAGTCCTCCACTCCCGGGCTCAAGTCCAGTACGCCAACGCCAAGAAACGATGCCCCCACGCCAGGCACCAGCACGACCCCGGGGCTCCGGGCCATGCCCGGTAAACCTCCAGGCATGGACCCCATAGGTATAATGGGTAGGCACCACACGGCCGGGCTGACTTGGGTGGAGCGGGAAGGGAGAAGCCCAGTGCAGGCTAGAGCCGTAGGATTGGCCCAGGGCACGGGGGAGGACAGCCGAGCTGGGACCCTGGCAGGATGGAGAGGAGAGACATCATCAGAAGCCTCAGACAGGCCAGGCACCGCAGGCCATGGCTGTGAATAATCCACCCTGCTTTGCAGCCTGGGCTCCACGGGCAGGGACCCGGTGGGGAGGGGTGGGAGTCATTGCCTGAGAGAAGTAGCAGCCTTAGGGTATAGTTATGGGCCCCTTCCTCGCCCTCCCGCTGATTTCTCCCTTCCCCCCCCCAGCCTCTGCCCTGCGCGCCCCCATCTCCATCACCGGCTCCTACGCCGCCCCCTTTGCCATGATGAGCCACCACGAGATGAACGGCTCCCTCACCAGCCCCAGTGCCTACGCCAGCCTCCACAACATCCCACCCCAGATGAGTGCGGCCGCCGCTGCCGCCGCTGCCTATGGCCGGTCACCAATGGTGAGCTTTGGAGCTGTACGTAGACCTTTTGGCTCCTTTTTTGGAGGGGGGAGAGGGGATTGGTGGGGTTAGACGGGGGGTCTGTGGTGGGGTCAGATAGATGGTCCATGCATGTTGACAGGGTCCTTGGGAAGGTGGGCCAGATTGATATCCTTCTGGGAGGAGTTTTAACTGAGTCCAGACTTGGCCGAAAGGGCAGACAAGAGGGGATGGCCGTCCCGCATCCTCCTGCCGGTTTCTGGGGGTCCATGTGCAAGGCTGCCTCCCAGTGCCCCTCCTGCTTGGCCCTGCTTGGCAGAGTAACTGGATAAACATTAGAGTTGGGGCTGGTGGGAGGCCCCTTCCCAGGATAGTTTCTCCCCAAACTTTCTATTTCAAGGGGAGTCCCCACTCCTCACAGTGGACTCCAGGGTTGCTGGGCAGATACGAAGTCAGAGCTGGGGGTCTGGATTGCCCCCCCCAGTCCCTGCCACCATTTAGAGCAGGGGGCTTAGAGTATTCCAACCAGTGCTGTGCCACAGGCCCAGAGGGTGGGGATGGGATGGGCTACGCGGGGGCTTACTGAGGACCCCTTGACTTTCCTTGCAGGTTGGTTTCGACCCTCACCCCCCCATGCGGGCCACGGGCCTGCCTTCCAGCCTCGCCACTATTCCCGGAGGGAAACCGTAAGCCTGGCTTTCTTGTCTGTGGGGCAGCAGAGAGGAGCCTCCCCTCCCCCCCCCTGCCATTCCCCTCACCATGGGCTTCATCCCTTGGGACAGTGCCTGGCCCTGGAGGGGTGCAGTCATGATCAGCTCGGGGAGCCCCGAGTCCCTGCTCATTGGCTGCGGGAAGAAGGGGGGCCCAAAGTTGCTGCCTGTGGACAGACTCTGGACAGACCCACGGCTGTACAAGTCACAGCCCTTCCCTGCCCCCAGGGCCCAGGGCTCCCTGCAGAGGGAAAAGGTTGAACATGCAGGTGGTACTCAGATAGGCGTGGAGAATCTTGACTTCATGTGGAAACCCCACTGTATCCTGCCCACACACACACACACACATACACACTATGCTGTCCCCCACCCTGACAGCTGTCGGTGGGCTGGGCAGGCTGCCCTCCCTCACTCATTGGTTCCCAGGCAAGGAAGGGCGGGCACTTAGCTGGAGACTTGTCCAGGGCTAGCACGTGCATGTGTTTAGTATATGTAACGTCTATCTATACGTTTATTATAGATTATATAATTACATAAACATATGTATTTGTATATAACATGCCTATTATTTCTATACATATAAATGGAGTGACATTCAAGGCTGGGATGTGAAGCCGTCCTTGGATGGGCTTCCAGGATTTACAGGAGTTCCACAGTGAGGGCCGGAGGGTGGGGGAGGTGGGCAGGGCAGCTGTTCAGGGCCCTGTCTGGCGCTGGGTGCCGGGGGTGACCGCCTTCCCCTTTTCAGAGCGTACTCATTCCACGTGAGTGCTGATGGGCAGATCCAGCCGGTGCCCTTCCCCCACGATGCCCTGGCAGGCCCCGGCATCCCCAGGCACGCCCGGCAGATCAACACCCTGAGTCACGGGGAGGTGGTGTGCGCCGTGACCATCAGCAATCCCACCCGGCATGTCTACACGGGGGGCAAGGGCTGTGTGAAGATCTGGGACATCAGCCAGCCGGGCAGCAAGAGCCCCATCTCCCAGCTCGATTGCCTGGTGAGCGCCCCCACCCACAGCTGCAGGCAGAGCAGGGCGGGCAGCCTGCACCCCGTGAACTGGGACCATCTGGCACAGCTCTACGTGAGCTGGGTAGTGTTGGCCACCAGTGGCCAGAGTGGGCTGCGTTTAACTCCGCACGTCTCCCTCCAGAACAGGGACAACTACATCCGCTCATGCAAGCTGCTGCCGGACGGGCGCACACTCATCGTGGGCGGTGAAGCCAGCACGCTCACCATCTGGGACCTGGCCTCGCCCACGCCCCGCATCAAGGCCGAGCTGACCTCCTCCGCGCCCGCCTGCTATGCCCTGGCCATCAGCCCTGACGCCAAAGTCTGCTTCTCCTGCTGCAGCGACGGCAACATTGCTGTCTGGGACCTGCACAACCAGACGCTGGTCAGGTGAGGTGCGCGAGGAGGAGGTCCCCCGCCTTGTCCTGGCGGCCTGGCCCTTCTCCAGAACCGTGGCTCTGCTCGAGGAGGCCCTGGGCTCAGATTGGCTTGAGTGAGGGGATCCTATGAGAGAAAAGATGGCTTTGGTTCGAGGGGTCGTGGAGGCAGAGATTGGAGGTTGTTTCCAGGAGGCTGGGGGGGGAGAAGGCCAGAGCAAGAGAGGTATGGGGCCTCCTCCAGAGCACAGATGCTGGCTTGGCAGTGGGGGCTCCCTGGGGCTCACTCTCCCTCCCTCGTGGCCCTGTAGGCAGTTCCAGGGCCACACGGACGGGGCCAGCTGTATAGACATCTCCCACGATGGCACAAAGCTGTGGACAGGAGGCCTAGACAACACTGTGCGCTCCTGGGACTTGCGAGAGGGTCGACAGCTGCAGCAGCACGACTTCACCTCACAGGTGTGCACCCCAGGATATCTGTGCGCTCCCCGCCACACCGGGCCCTCACGGGGGTCCTCCACACCAGGCCCCCGTGGGGTCATCCCCTGGGCCAGTCTAGGAAGGCCTCCTGGAAGGGGCCACATTGCTGTGGAGGAAGCGAGGCCTGGAGTTGGGCTCTTGGCCTGTCTGTGTGTGAGGGGGGGACTTGACATCTGCTTTCCTTATGGTGGGATGGAGACTGAGGGCTCCTGCCCAGCTCTGGAGTGAGCACATTCTGCCAGCCTTGGCCCGGCCTGGACTTCAGTGAAGGCCAGGCGTCACCATTTGTTATTTTCATTTCTCACCTTTGTTTTAAGGAGGGATCGGGGTCACAGAGGCAGATGTGGTCTGGGGTCTTCTGACCTACCAGGGTGCCTGGATGATGGATGGGGAGGGCCTGAGCCGGGCACCTGAGCCTCGGGCCCCATTGCTGAGGACACTGAGCTGTGTATGTGCCCACAGATCTTCTCTCTGGGGTACTGCCCCACCGGGGAGTGGCTGGCTGTGGGCATGGAGAGCAGCAATGTGGAAGTGCTGCACCACACCAAGCCAGACAAGTACCAGCTGCACCTGCACGAGAGCTGCGTGCTGTCCCTCAAGTTTGCCTGCTGTGGTGAGCCAGTGGGACCTGGTATGGGGAGTGGGCCGGGACCCCCTGGTAGCAGTGTAGTGAGGAATCAGGAGTGATTGGCCCCGTGGATCTTGTGCATGTGTGTACACACACACGCCTATCACCCCAGGGGCACTGGGCTCTCAGGACACTGACTAGAGCCCATCCTGGGTAACTGGGAGCAGGGGGCGGGCAGGGGGCTGGAGGGCTCAGGGCCGCAGGTCTTGCCATCTGGCAGCCTGCTCCCCTTCTACCACCTTTAAAGGCACAAGCGTGGCTCTCCCTCCCTGAATCCCAGTAGGTTTTTCTCTGTTGCTGAGAAGAGCACCCACTGGGGCCCTTCACGTGGTTTGGGGGAGGGAGGCGCTGGCCTGGTAACCCAGGGCCCTGCCGCGCACCCCCACCTGGAGGAAAGGTGTCTGCCCATTACCGTCCCCAGCTGGGATGCGCCATTTCTGATGTTGCCAGCTGGGAGTGTGAAGTGCAGGTCTTGTCTTTTCCCATCCCGGCCCTTCTGCACCTCCCCTGTATGGGAGACAAAAGCATTCTCTTGAGTGTCCACCTGTCTCACTGGTAAAAAGCAAGTGGAGCACCACAGTAAGCCCCACAGCCAGCCTCAGGCATTTGTGGCAGCCGAGTCTAGGGCCTGTACTGCTGTAGAGGGCCAGGGCCGAGGCCTAAGCGGGCTCTGCTCTGTCTGCAGGCAAATGGTTCGTGAGCACTGGGAAAGACAACCTCCTCAACGCCTGGCGGACACCGTACGGGGCCAGCATCTTCCAGGTGCGCCGGCACCCCGTCCACCTGCCACCCTGCTCCCCACCCACCTGTCATCACGCACCCCACTTCCTTTAGGATGTAGTCCCTGGGGTTAGGGCTGGAGAGCAGACCTGCCTGGACCCCTTCTCTGCTTACATGATGGAGGCCAAGAATGGGTCATCCAGGGAGGGCTTTGCGGGGGGAGGGGGGAGGGCTGTAGCATGACATGCTGTATTTTGCTGATGGCCTCTGACCCCTAAGAGCCTCAGGAAAGCAAGGGCAAGGTCACACAAGGGCTCTTTAGGCCCTGTGGAAGGTAGGCCTGGCACCTAAGTGTCCAGAGAGGCTTCACTGCCAGGCCGCATGTTCTGATTGGTGGTTCAGAGTGAGGACGAACAGGAGGGGGCGTGGCTACTGACATGATTGGCGGGGTGGGGGAGCATATACCACTGTTTCCTCTCATATACATACACTGACACACATGTACACGCATGCTCATCCAGGAGCTCCTTAGCACTGACATGTCGGGTGTCCTGTATGTCACACATGTCCCTTTCTGAGCCCGGGTATCCGTCCTGACTTACAAGGCTGACATGGAGCACCTGATGCTGCTATAGCTCAGACTGTAGCTTCTTGTTTGTAAATGGGGCCTGGCGAGGAACTATTTTCTGTTGAAATCAACCTTTTTTTCAGGGGAGCTTGAACTACAATCCCCCCTTTCCCCTCTCGTCCCTAGTTGGTTTGGTGGGGGCGGGGCCCCAGGACTGAGCTGCTGCTGGGCCGTGGAGGACATGGAGAATGAATTTCTCCTCTCTCTCTGTCTCCCTCCAACAGTCGAAAGAATCCTCCTCCGTGTTGAGCTGTGACATTTCGGCAGATGACAAATACATTGTAACAGGCTCTGGTGACAAGAAGGCCACAGTTTATGAGGTCATCTACTGAACAAGGACTCTGACTCTGGGAGACACAAGCGTGGCTCTGGCAGGGACTGAAGATGCCGTGAGCGGCAAGTTTGGGGTGCGCCGGCAGGCAGAGAGGCATGCACCCCACGTGGGCCTGGGCGCCTGGCTGCAGGATTTTCTCCTCTTCCCCTTAACAGTGCTGGCAGATGCTACAAATAGATTTATTTTGGAGGCCTTGGCTCCAGTTCCCCACAGACACCCTCATGCGTCTCTGTCTCTTCCTCCCCCTTTCTACTGACCCTGGGGTCCAGGACACTGGAGCTGACCACAGTGCTGTGGGGGGAGGGAGGAAGGGGAGGATCTTGTTCCCCACTGTACAGAGCACAGGCTTGTGAAAATGTAAATAACAGACACAGACTCCTAGTGCCGCGTGGCCGGGGGAGGGGGGGCCCCGCCAGAAGCTCGTGCCTCTGTTGCCTGCTGTATTTGTAGCCCACTCTCATGGTGGCTTTTCTTCTCTCTCTCTCTCTCTCTTCTTTCTCTTTTAAAAACAGAAGTTCCCATCTCAGAAAGGTAGTTGGGGCCGGAGAGCAACAGGCAGAGGGAGGCAGTAGGGAGAAAAGTCCTGAGTCTGGGGGGCAGCCTGCCTTGATATGACTCATGGCATCCACGCATGTCCGGATGAGTGATTGACAGACAGTGCTGAGATGGGCGGGCCTGGCCGCAGCTGGGCTTCTCCTTAACATCTGTGTGCTGTCCACCTCCAGCCTTTCCGGCCTGTCTTTGTCTCTCTGTCTCCTCCCTCCCCCCGCCCTTACTCTCTTTCTCTTTGTCTCCCCCCCCCCACCTCTCTGTCCTGGGTCCATATTTCTCTTTGGTGCATATCCAGTCATTGTGGTAAGAGAGATGGTTCTAACAGGGCAGCCTGAAAAAGGACCACAGGAGAGAGAGAAACTTCTAGTAACTCAGCTCAGGGAGCTGCCAGAGGAAACTGCAACTGGTGCGGGTGCTTTCTTGTTTCGTTGTTGTTTTTTTTTTTTCTTTTACTTTTTGAATAAAAAACAAAAAGAATTAGAAGTGATGTCCTTTTACAAAATGCCTTCTCCCCTTGCCTGCCTTTGCTATCCCTTGAGGAGGAGAAACCCCTGGATTGTGGGTCTTCAAGATGACCGCGCCCCCTCTCCCCCACCCCCGCCCATCACCTCTTAGGCTGCAATGTGGGGGACACAGCCTGGACCCTTGCAGCTTTCATCTCTCTCGTGGTCACAGGCAGGTGACACCAGATGCCAGTACCGCTTGGTAACACCGAATGTGAAGTGTTGGGATTCTGTTGGTTTGTGTTTGGGTCTGGTTTTGTTTTGTTTTCTTAAGAGAAGTTAAAGGGTGTGTTTGTCCCAATGGTGGGTCTCCACGGATGTAGCATATGGAAGAGAATTTTTATACCGCATTTTTATGGATTGTTTTATAGTGGGGGTTTGGTCTGGCGAGAAGGAAGAAAGGGCATCTGGGAACCTGCCCTGCCCACCTGTGGTGCTCAGGGCTGAGCCGCTGTGCCCAGCAGGCAGCACCGAGACTCAGTGCGGACTGGAGCCAGCCTGGGTGAGGAGGGCGTGGGGCATCCGGACTCTGCCATGCTGTCACCCTGGATCCCTTGTGAAGACTCTAGAAGGAAGGGCGAGGGTAGGAGAACATTATTCCTGAAAAGAAAAAAAAAAAAGTCGTTGTAATGAGCTGTTTTTATATTTTTAAAAGTTGCTATTTAAAAGGTTGTCTTGGTGGTTGTGTTTTAATTGCCTTTCTCTCCTTGCCCCCCCCACCCCGCCCCTTTCCCAGCCTGGTATCAGGGAGCCCCAAAGCCTCCCTCTCTCACCATGGCCATGAGACAAGTTCTTCCCTGCCAAGCCCCATGGTGCAGGGCTGAGGAGGGGAGGGCAGGGCTTCCCGGGCCTGAGCTAGCCCACAGTACCTGTCCAGTCCAATCACCGTGCAGCAGGGAGTGGGGTGGGGGGAGGGGGGAAGTTTGGAGGTCGCAGAAACTTGGGGCTGGCTCCCCTGCTCTGGCACTTTGCCCCTGGTGATGCCTTCCACCCCCTTGTCTATACTGGTCATCCCAAGCAGTTGCCTTGACAGGAAACAATGAGAATTGAAACACAGCCTTCATGCTGGTCTTGGGGCAGCTGTTGGCTCAGAGAGTCCTTTAAGGTGGCGAGGGGACCAGACTTGGGAGGACACCCACCTGAGGCCACAGCCTTTGGCCTCCCCATTCTCCAGCCAGGGCTATAGGCCAGTGTGCCAGGGCTGGGGCTGCCCATTAGGGCAGTGGCTTGTTGAAGTTGGGGCTCCTGGGTTCCCAGTGGGTGGGGAAGGGGTGAACACACCCCTGCGGTTGTGTCCTGCATGTTCACAAGGTCATGGGGGGGGTGAGGACTCTTGCAGGTGCGTCTGAGTTCACAAGGCTGCAGTCTCTCCCCATGTCTGCGGCAGCACCTCAGAAGCTGGAGAGCAAGAACCTCGCAGGGGGCACAGGTCCTATTGTCCTCACCCAAGCTCACCAGGCCTCTGGCACAGGCGCCTCGCAGTGCCTTCCCCCAATCTCCCTGCCCCAACCACTGCCAGCCATGGTCCCCCTCCTCCCCGCCCTCAGCATCCTCTGACGGGGAAGTCAAGAGCTTGAAAATGCTGATTGCCCAATGTCAGTCCTGAGGCTTTAACTCGGCCTGATCACTGTCTCTAGGCTCCTTTTGCTCAAGGCTAGCATTCCACCACTTAAGCGACAGCCCCACTTCCGGCTCTTTCTGTGATTAATTGGAAGTAAGAGTCTTTTGGATTTTCCTGCCCAGGCTGGCTTTGAACCATGATCCTCAGATCCTCAGCCTCCTAAGTAGCTAGGTGCCACCAGCACCCAGCTTCTTTTCTGGGCCAGTCTTGGAACTTGAACTCGAGGCCTAGGCACTGTCCCTGAGCTTTTTAATTCGGGCCTAGAGTTCTACCACTTGCACCACAGCTCCACTTCGGGCTTTTTTTTTGGGGGGGGATAGTTTATTAAAGATAAAAGCCTCATGGACTTTTCCTGCCCAGGCTGGCTTTGAACTGTGATCCTCAGAATAGCTAGGATGACAGGCATGTGAGCCACTAGCACCGGCCTGGGAAATCTTCATAAAGATTTTGAGGAAAAGAAAAGCAAGCCAGCACGATTAAGACTCAATCAGGAGTCCCTCTACTGGGATTCTTTGAGACAAAAGTGGGTAGGAGGTGACAAGCCCAATGGCAAAGAACAAGACTCACCAACCACGGCTTTACCTGAGCCATGGCACCACCTGGGCCATGCATGCCACAGGACCTCCCCAAATCCAGTCCTGGCTCTTCCCACCCCTACAAATAGGATGCAGTTGCTCAGGAAATGAGAGCCAATGGCAAATGGGATTGCATTGTATCAAACAGCTTCTATGCATCCAAGAAAAGACACAGCCCAAAGAATAAGAGAAAACCTTTGCCAGCCATTCATCAAACAAGATTAATATGCAAAGTATACAAAGAGCTTACACACACAAAAAAAAAGAACCAAGAACCAATGAATAAGTGGGCAAATGGAACAACTAGTTCTTTGAAGAACTACAAATGGCAGATAACTATAGGAGAAAATGTTCCTCCATCCTTAGGCTTAAAGGAAGTGCAGACCAGAACTCTGGAATGGCCATCAACAAGAGGACAACAGCAGATCTGGCAGGACAGGTGGGGAAGGCCCTCATGTTGTTGGTGGGAATGTGAATGACTCATTCGCAGTGGACACTGGTGTAGGGCTGGGCAGTGGCGTGCTTGGGCCCACATCCAAAATGGATATTGTGAATGGGAGTTGTGCACAATAGAGATGCTTGCACACCCATGTTCACTGCAGCACAAAACACAGCCCAACTGGAATCAGCCTAGGTGCCCCAAACTAATGACTGGATAAAACAAACAAACAATGCAGTGCATTTGCACAATAGAATATCCTTTAGAAGTAAAGGATGAGTGTCATTAGTAAGAAAATGAACAGAACTAAAGATCGTTATATTGTGTGACATTGACAAGTGTGTTTGCTAAAATGTAGAACCTCGTCCAAAAAAGAAATGATAAGGTGACATGAGCCAAACTGATGGTTCATTCTGTAATCCCAGCTTCTCAGGGGCCTGAGATCTGAAGATTCTGGTTCAAAGTGAGTCCAGGCAGGAAAGCCTGTGAGACTCTTTAATTAACCACCAAAAAAGCTGGTAAGGTAGCTGTGGCCCAAGAGAGTGCTGGCCTTGAGCAAAAAAAAAAAACTTAGGGATGGTGCCCAGACCCTGAGTTCACAAAGAAAGAGAGGGAGAGAGGGAAAGAGAGAGGGAAGGAAGGAAGGATAGTAGGAAGGGAGGGGGAGAGGGAGGAAGGGAGGGAGGGAGGGAGGGAAAGCTGGAAGTAGAGCTGTATGTAGTTCAACCCACAGGGGCTCAATCTAAAAAGTCTGCTCAAATTCATTTTTGTTTGTTTTTGTCATGGGGCTTGACCTCAGGGCTGGCCTAGGTGCTATCCCTGAGCTCTTTTGCTCAAGGCTAGTGCTCTACCACCTTGAACCACAGTGCCAATTCCAGTTTTCTGGTAGTTGATTAGAGAGAAGAATCTCATGGACTTTCCTACTTGGGCTGGCTTTGAACCATGATCCTCAGCCTCCTGAGTAGCTAGGATTATAGGTATGAGCCATCAGTACCCAACTGCTTGTTTTTTTGTTTTGTGTGTGTGTGTGTGTGTGTGTGTGTGTGTGTGTGTGTGTGTTGAGGGGAGAGGTTTGTCTCACAAGTGGTAAGTAGAGGACTATCCTTGAGCAAAAGAAACTCTGAGGGTCCAGGACCTCAGTTCAAGCTCTAGGACCAGCACAAAAAAGGAAGGGAGGGAGGGAGGTTGAATTTGGTCAAAGTACTTATATACGTGTATAGAAAATGGCAGCTAAACTCTGGTACATTTAATTGTCCCTAATAAAGACCAAAAGAGAAGGTGGAAAGCTGAGCCTTCCCGGGTGTCTTGAGGCTGAGGTTGGACTGCAGGGGGCTGAGACCCCACACAGAGACAGCATGGTTAGATGTGTTTAGCTTTTCATTGTGAAAAATGCTAAACAGATCCAAGGCAGACAGATCAGGGTGATGAATTCCCCTTGGCAGCTGCCTTCACCACTTGTCAGTCCAGAGGTGGGGAGTCTTGTATTACCTCCTCTTGCCCGGTCCATAGATTCTAGACATTTCATTACGGGGTTAGTCAATACTTTACTATGACCAAAAGGTAAACTCTCCCTTGAAAATACAACCCTAACACCATGAAACCACTGAACACCAATTTCTAATATCCTCATGTATCCAATCTATAGTCTTAAGTTTTCTAACTTTCCCTCTTGTCCCATTAAAAAAAAGAAAGTTTATTTGAATTAGAAGCCAAGTAAGGTCTATTCAGAGCAATGAAGCTGATATGTTCTCATAGCGTCTCTTTCTCTTTTCCTCTATTTTTGTCTCTCCCTCCCTTTCTCTCTCTCTTTCTCTCCCTCCCTTCTTCCACTCTCCCTCCCTCTCCCTCTCTCTCTCTTTCTCTCATCCACACACACATCCACACACACACCACATTTATTTATTGAAGAAACCAAATTATACATCCTTAGAGCTCCACATAACCTGAATTCAGCTGATTGCTAAATTGTGGTTAGATCCTAGAGCTTGATTAGATCCAGGCTTGATTTGGGGGGCTGGCAAGAATACACCCTCGATTCATTAGGAAGCACACAGTATTAAATGTTTCTCCTTTTGTCTGTTAGAGGTCACTGATCATCATTATGCAGATTCCTTCAACCATTCGTTCAACTCAGGGGCTGCTAGGGTCCCCAGCAAACTAGATCTGGCCAATTGCTCCCAAAATAAAGCGGAAAAAGTAATGGTGGGAAGGCAGAAAAGGATTTTGTTTTTGGCAGTACTGGGGTTTGAACTCAGGGCCTCATGCTTGCTGAGCTAGGCCTCCAGCCCTGATATCTTGTTTTTAGCATAGGGTCTCACCTCCCACCCAGGCATGCTCCTGAGCCTATTTTAGACCTCCTATACCATTGCTGGGGTTACAGGAGTACATCACCACACCCATCTTCCCTGGGATAATGTGGTTTCATAGACTTTTCTATCCATGCAGGACACATACAAGTGCCTCAGAAGGCAGGAGGGGGAGTGTTAATTGTTTAATCATTGTCATTGTTGGAAAGATGGGGACCAGGCATCTCGGCCCATTTCCCTGATTTTTGACACAAGAATTCCTACTGCAAGGTAAGAGACAAACACAGCCAACCATTCAGGGGCCACTTTTCTTGTAGGTTATACTGAATTGTAATACCGTATTATCTTTTCCCTAGCTATGATTAGATCCGTCATTGAGAACCCTCACCACAGGGCTTCCTAATGCAATTACAAACTGCATCTCCCATTGTTAGATGCATTCCAATGGACCTTTCCCAGACACCCTGGCTTTCAACATACCTTGCATGTCTTACTATTTGGTGCCACAGTTGCTGCGAAATTTCAAAATTCCCCCATCTAAAGCAAATGGGATAAGCCCAGAAGAGCCCAGAAGATTTCAAACAGCCAAGAAATAAGAATGAGGTCTAATGCACCTTATTGGAGACAGACTCACAGGGGCTCAAGATCTACAAAGTCTGTAAGTTCAATTTTTCTCTCTCTCTCTCTCTCCCCCCCCCAA